GCCACCACGCCCAGCTAATTTTTGTATTTTTTAGTAGAGACAGGGTTTCACCATGTTGGCCAGGATAGTCTCAATCTCTTGACCTCGTGATCTGCCTTCCTTGGCCTCCCAAAGTGCTGGGATTACAGGCATGAGCCACTGCAGGTGGCCTAATTTTTGTATTTTTAGTAGAGACGGGGTTTCTTGATGTTGGCCAGGCTGGTCTCGAACTCCTGACCTCAGGTGAACTGCCTGCCTCAGCCTCCCAAAGTGCTGGGATTACAGGTGTGAACCACCGTGCCTAGCCTTAACTGTTCCTTTTATTTCATAGTCTTTATAGTTCTTTTACATGGTGAGATTGGGGGGTGGGAATATTTGTCTCAATTAGGAACAGTTATGCATTATTTAATTTGATGTAAAAAAAGATAATTAATTCTATATACAGAGTTACTGTGGCAGTGAATCACCATTGCTTTTTTTTTTTTTAAGTATATTTTTTCCTGAGGTCTATTTTCTTGTAGTCTGTTGCTGCTAATTAACAGCTGGTACTTAATAAATTTGCTTGCAGCTATATCTTGCTGCTGCTGAGTGATTCCCTAACACAATAAGCAGGTGATTCTTTATAGATAAACCATGTTGTCCTGTTTCTTGGAAATCACAGGATTAATTAACTGAGAAGATGTTAAATTGAATTTTAAACCAAAGTCGGATGAAGGCTTACAGGCACAAATTTTGACTAGTGTCTTCTTAATGTCTTATATATTTAATTTGCTTAAGTCAGAATATACTGTTTGTAATGCATTCAGAGCTGGGTTTGGGGTTTCTTTATTCTTCTCTGTCATCATTGGGGTATAGTTCTTATTTCTCATTTTCTGCTTCCTTTCAGTTCCCCAAGGCTTCTCTGCCGATACTCAGACTCTAGATGGATTTTTGCTTACTTTTCTAAAAAATATTGTTGTTGTTCACAGAGAGTGCATTTTAGCAGCAGTTTGAGTGCAGCTTTTTCAGTTTTCCAGAGTCTCAGGAAATGCACTGGTGATAGTTTTATCCATTGTAATCAGTCCTTGCTATTTTGGGTTTTCCTGTGTAACACTAGACTCGATGGTCCCTTATTATACTAGATTTGGCAAATAGCTGACAACTACGTTGCTCAAGTCAGGCTTGAGGTCACCTTCAAATTCTAGGATGACCACTACCACTTAGAGAAAACAGCATGATGTAATAGAAAAGACCCAGGAAATGGTTAAGAGACTTGGTTCTACCACTCACTAGCCTCGTGACCTTAATCAAACCATTTCACCCCTGAGGCAGGGGCTTGGGGAGACTTGGTTTCTTTATTGATTAAATATGGGGTTTAGACTGGGTGCTCTTCTACACCCTTCCCAGTGTGAATGCCATTGATACATTGGAACTGGGTCATTCCTAGTCACCTTGCTTTAGTTGGAGGTCCAGAGGGCAATTTTTGGCCCTCTTACAGTTCAGATGCACTCATAGGAGCTAAAATGGACTAAAGCTGAGGCACTAGTGTGAACCCACCTTGTGGCTCCATAAAGCCTGTCGTCTCTGGAACCGTGATGACTTCCAACTTGCCCCAGGTATGAGAGGTCATCACAATTCCAACATATCTCAAGGCCAAGAAGTGACAATCTACAAATTTGAACCCAGTTCTAAATTCGTATTCTTTTGTTATATCCTTGCTTCCTCCACGGAGTAAAGATTACAACACTGATGCTTTTATCATCTTTAATGGATTGGGGATATGGCTTTTAAAGAGTAAAAATTACAGTAGATACATAAAAGAATGTGGCTGGGTGCCATGGCTCACACCTGTAATCCCAGCACTTTGGGAGGCCAAGGTGGGTGAATTGCTTGAGCCTAGGGCTTTGACACCATCCTGGACAACATGGTGAAACCCCGTCCTACAAAAAATACAAAAATTATCTGGGCATGGTGGCAAGTCCCTGTGGTCCTACCTACTCCAGAGGCTAAGGTGGAAGGATTGCTTGAGCCCAGGAGGTTGAGGCTGCAGTGAGTTGTGATCACACCACTGCAATCCAGCCTGGGTGACAAAGCAAGACCCTGTCTCAAAAAAAAAGCAAAAAAAAAAAAAAAAAAAAAAAAAAAAAAGAATCCTCTGACAATTATTGCATGAAATCATTTTTTTCGGATATCTTTATACAGTTATAAAAGTATACAAAACCTAGGTACAATATAAAAAAAATTATAGATCAATCTTATGTGGTCACCACCTGTGTTAACATAAACCTTTGCCAGCACCCCAAAAACCCTGTATGCCCTTGTAGATCACAGCCCTCTACCTCTCCCCATGAGGTAAGCACCATTCTTTCAAGATAAGCACTTCCTTGTTTTTCCTTGCAGTTTTACAGTGTGTGTACCTATCCTCAAACAATATAGTTGTTTTGCCTATTTCTGAACTTTATATAGATCATACAATATGCACTTGTTAGTGTTTTGCTTCTTTTGCCCACTGTTTGTGAGATCCATCCATGTTGTGGAATGTAACTGTCATTCATTCATTTTCATTGCTTTATTTTTACTCTGCTGTAGGAATAGACCACAATTTATTTATCCATTCTGCTACTAATAGATATTTGGGTGATTTCCAGTTTGGAGTTATTGAAGGACAGTACTATCCTGAACATTCTTGTACATGTCCTCCCCTGGGACACATATGTGGAAGCTTCTCTGGGTATATTCCTAGAAGTGTAATTGTTGTTCATAGAGTATTCAGATTTTTAACCAGCTGTGACTGCCGAACTTAATTATTACTGGTGCTTTTAATCCTTCCTTTTTTAATGAAAATTTAAAGTCTTCTGTTCTCCTCTAAAAAGGTTTGTCTTTCCTGTAGAAAAATGCAAGAATGGCAGCAGAAAAGCATTATTCTGTTACCCTAAAAGCACTAGGAATATCTGATGAGTTTGTTTCAAAGAAAGGCCAAAGTGGAAAAGTACTTGAGTACTTCAACAATCAGGAGACGAAAAGTGTCACCGAAGACAAAGAAAGGTAACATATATAAGATTTCTCAATGGTTTACCTTTGAAAAAATCGTTACCTGCAGGAAAGCATACAATTTTGTATGATGTATATATTTTTGTTCTATATCGTTTTAAAAAATATTTTACCCAGTAGTAAAAGACCTGTGAACTGTTTTAAAACATATTGATATTTTAACATGTGTGACACATTCACGTTCTCGTGGTGAAGTAGTATTTATTTATTTATTTATTTATTTTTTAGAGACTGGGTTTCACCATGTTGGCCAGTTTGGTCTTGAACTCCTGACCTCATGATCTGCCCACCTCAGCCTCCCACTGAGGCTGGGATTACAGGCGTGAGCCACCGCTCCCGGCTGTGAAGTATTTTTTTTAACGCAGAATAACTTAGATTTCTTACTGACATAAGTAACAAAAATAATGTTTTCAAATGATGTTTAAAGAATCAATCACTCAAATTTTGAAGTAAATTAGTTTTCAGCTGGGCGTGGTAGCTCACACCTGGAATTCTAGCACTTTGGGAGGCCGAGGTGGGCGGATCACCTGAGATTGGGAGTTCGAGACCAGCCTGACCAACATGGAGAAACCCTGCCTCTACTAAAAAATACAAAAATTAGCCAGGTGTAGTGGTGCATGCCTGTAATCCCAGCTATTTGGGAGGCCGAGGCAGAAGAATCACTTGAACCTGGGAAGCGGAGATTGCAGTGAGCCGAGATTGCACCATTGCACTCCAGCCTTGGCAACAAGAGCAAAACTCCATCTCAAGAAATAATAATAAATAAAGAACTAAATAGATAAATTAGTTTTCAGGAATATTAAATTTCTCAATTGCTGACTTTTTTTTTTTTTTTTTTTTTTTTTTTGACAGAATTTTGCTCTTTGTTGCCTAGGCTGGAGAGTGCAGTGGCGAAATCTCGGCTCACTGCACCTCCACCTCCTGGGTTCAGGTGATTCTCCTGTTTCAGCCTCCCAAGTAGCTGGGACTACAGGTGCCTGCCACCAGGCCTGGCTAATTTTTGTATTTTTAGTAGAGACAGGCTGGTCTCTACTAAATGCTGGCCAGGCCTCAGCCTCCCAAAGTGCAGGGATTACAGGCATGAGCCAACATGCCCAGTCTCAGATGGCACTTTTATAGCATTTTCTGTTTATGCTTTTGTTTTTGTTTTCTTGATAACGAATTGGAACTCATACACTTGAGGAAGACTGGCTACACGGTGGCATACTTGCAGAGGGTTTTTTTCATTTAAACCAACTCATTTTTCCTTTGAAAGACTGATAAATTTCTTCCCCTAGCTTTAATGAAGAAGAAAAAATAGAAGAGAGAGAAAATGGGGAAGAAAATTATTTTATTGATACCAACAGCCAGGATTCTTACAAGGAAAAAGGTGAAGCTGATGAAGAGAGTGGAGAAGAGAAATCTGTTGAAGAATCACATTGAACCATCAAGGTCTCCTCTCTATGCCCTTGCTGCTGTTTGCAGCGTCAGGGTGTCAGCAGCTGCATTTGTGTTTAGAACATCTGTGGGGACACCTCTGATATGTGCAGGGCAGTTGAGCAAAGTCATCTGTAGCCTGAAAAGCCTGAATCCAGCTTATTGGTCATTTGATCAGTTAGAGTAAGGCTTTGCCTATTCAGTTTTAAAAATCATTATATACAATCTGTTTGCAACTATGATTTTGTATTTTTTAAAAGTGTTTGAGAATCACAGCTTTCACAAACTGTTATAAAAATATATGTTGTTTCATTAATTTTAGTAGAAAAAATGGCTTAGTATTGAAAGCAGAGAGAAATATTGGTCTTTGGTGATTTACTTTTTAAAATTTTCTGGAAAGTGTGAATCAATAAGTATTTTTAATTATACTATTTGTCCATTCTTTTTCTCTGAAATACATTTCACAGAATAAATCCTTGAACTTATTTTGCTACTCTGAGCCATTTTTAAAACTAAAGAAAAAAATACTTACAAATTTTATTTTTGCACTGAAAGTTTACTGTTAAATTGTCTACACCATCATCCCTTTTTCTTTTAATCCTTAGTTCTAGTCCAAACTATTTTTGATATGTAAATTATTAGGAACGTTTTTATACTAGCTTTTTTAAACTTTTGCATTATTACAGATGGAAGTATTTATGGCATGTGTGAGTTATAATCTAAATTGGGGGCAAGTATTCCTGTTTTATATATGATGAAATGGTACATAATAACTTGGCTAAGGAAAGTATCCAAAATAATTCAGATTTAACTCTTTACTGCTAGACCCAGGTGTGTTCAACTTTTTACATATTGTTGCAAACACACTTTGTCTCTCTGTGTACAATGTTAATCTGATTTTATGAATCTATAGTTTTTTTTCTTTAAGCAAATTTTTGTTTTAAAATTTGAAGCCAATCATAAAGCTGTTACAGCATAAGACATTTTCTTTTCTAAAAACAATCAGCATAATTGTAAAAGGATGAACTCATATAAGTGTACATAATAGCAGTGTTTCCCAACTGGCAATTTGTGTTTTAAATTGAAAAATAAGGTTATTTTTCTTCATCAGGGGCAAATGTTAACTTGTAATTTCCTTCCTACAGTTCATGTTAAATTACTTTTCACTTTTATTAAATTGTAAACTCCTTGGGAATTGGCACCATTTACAAATTCATCTTTGTATTCCCTTAATATTTGGTGCAGGATTGTACGTATGGTAGGTACTTAATAAAGGTTTGAATGACTGTGCAGATAAATATGGTTTTTATATACTTATAGCTACTTCAGCATGAGTACACATGGGATTAAAAGCATTTAATCCTAGCTCATTGGGAGCCAATGAAACACAATCTACAAATTATAATAGTACTTAAAACATTACTTGCTTTCAAGGATTCACTCCGTAGCCTGTTCCTTCTCAATTTCATGGGGAGAGCGTGGGCTTTGGTCGTGAAATAACTTGGCTTCAAGACCAATCTCATTTTCTTACCTTAAAAAAAATGGGAATTGTACCTATCTTGGGGTGGCTGTAGTAAGGACTGGATGAAATCATGAATGGAAAAGCTCTTTGCAAACTGTGATATTCAAATGATGGTGTCAGAAGACAGAATATTCCTGAGGAAGCTATTGACTTAAAATACTTTTACTTAAATGAGATACACTGTGATTTAAATATTATTTTGTTAGAAGTCACTTTTGAAGCACTTTTTTAGACATGATCTGGTAAACACAGAGCCAAAGTTAACAAAAGAGAGAGACGGACGCTTCAAATCATTCTATGCATATCACTGTTTTCTTAAGAAAGCCATCAAATTGACAGTTGAAAGATTACTTTAGCAGGTTGCATTACACAGTGATGGTCAGAAGTCAATTGGTTGAATCAAACATGTTTTCAGGTGTTAGGCAACTGAAAATTTTGTACATTTGTATCATCTGAATTGGCTCCATAATTCTTTTCACTTAGGGATTTTCCTTTATACAAGATTAACCTAACATCAAGAAGAAGGCTATGCTCTTTTTTCCTTTCTTAATATTATTGGATACCCTATGACTTCATACTTATTTCTGCAGAAGAAATGGCCTGGGAACTTATTGGAGGATTAAGTTATTTTACACACACACACACACACACACACACACACACACACACACACACACACATCTATATATATGATGGAAGGCTGGACACGGTGGTTCATGCCTATAACCCTAGCACTTTTGGAGGCAGAGGAGGGTGGCTCACTAGAGATCAGGAGTTCCAGATCAGCCTGGGCAACATGGTGAAACCCTGCTACAAAAAATACAAAAGTTAGCCAGGCATGGTGTCATGTATTGAGTAGTCCCGATACTTGGGAAGCTAAGGTGGGAGGATTGTTTGAGCCCAGCTTGTTGAGGCTGCAGTGAGCTGTGATCTCGCCACTGCACTCCAACCTAGGTAACAGTGAGACCTCGACTCAAAAATAAAATACATATATGATGGAAAATTTAGCAATTCTTTTTTTTTTTTTTTTTTTGAGACAGAGTCTCACTCTATCCCCCAGGCTGGAGTGCAGTAATAATTATTCTTTTACTTTGTTGATTTAACCTACACAATAAAACAAATAAGCATGCCTTTAAGGATGTCTGGTATTTTTATGTTAGTATTTCTCAAGTTAATTCTAGTCACTTGAGAATAGCAAAGATTTCAACATTTGCACCTAGGCAATAAAAAGTCATTAACTTCAGGCTGGGCGTGGTGGCTCACACCTATAATCCCAGCACTTTGGGAGGCCAAGGCAGGCTGATCACCTGAGGTCAGGGAGTTTGAGACCAGCCTGGCTAGCATGGTGAAACTCCATCTCTACTAAAAATACAAAAAAATTAGCTGGGTGTGGTGGCGCATGCCTGTAATCCTAGCCACTTGGGAGGCTGAGGCAGGAGAATCATTCGAACCTGGGAGGTGGAGGTTGCAGTGAGTCAAGATAGTGCCACTGCACTCCAAGCCTGGGCAACAAGAGTGAAAACTTCATCTCGAAAAAAAAAAAATTAACTTGATAAAAATTACCTTATCGCTTTAAAGAAAAATGTATGCCCTTCTCAACCATCACATATGTGTATATGTGTGTTTTAGTGATTGTTTAGAAGGGAAGAAGTTCTTGTGAAATGAAGTTTTTGTCAATTTGGCAAGACTTGGACTATAATAGTGTCAAAGTTATTACTTTGTCCTAAATGCTTTAGGCAGTCTCATTTATTGTAACCTATATGTGGTCCTGATGTGGCCTGTGGTTGGCTAACTTACCTGTATTGTTAGAAAAGTTATAGGAATAACTTTTTTAAATTTTAAATTTAATTAAAAAAAAATTTTTTGAGACAATGTCTCACTATGTTGCGAGGCTGGTCTCAAACTCCTGGGCTCAAGTGATCCTCCTGCCTTGGCTTCTCAAAGTGTTAAGATTACAGGCATGAGCCACTGTGCCTAGTCAGGAATAACTTTTATATTATAGCAACTTTGTTTGTTTTTAAGGGAGGAAATAATCAAGGTCACAGTATATAGTGTATTTTTAAATTTTTATTTAAAAATTCCAATATTCTGCCAGGCACAGTGGCTCACACCTATAATCCCAGCACTTTGGGAGGCTGAGGCAGGAGGATTAGTTGAGGTCAGAAGTTTGAGACCAGCCTGGCCAACATGGCGAAACCCTGTCTCTACAAAAAATACAAAAATTGGCTGTGCGCAGTGGCTCACACCTGTAATCCTAGCACTTTGGGATGCCGAGGTGGGTGGATCACCTGAGGTCAGGAGTTCAAGACCAGCCTGGCCATCATGGTGAAACCCCATCTTTAAAAAATAATAATAATAATACAAAAATTAGCCAGACATGGTGGTGGGCACTTGTAATCCCAGCTACTTGGGAGGCTGAGGTAGGAGAATCACTGGAACCTGGGAGACAGAGGTTGCAGTGAGCTGAGCTTGTGCTACTGCACTCCAGCCTGGGCAACAGAGCGAGACTCTGTCTCAAAACAAAAAAAATTAAAATATTCAGGCTAGATGCAGAGGCCTACACCTGTAATATCAGCACGTGGGAAAGCTGAGGTGGGAGAATCACTTGAGATAAGCCTGGGCAACAGAGCGAGATCCTGTTTCAAAAAAAGAAAAAATTCAGATTCTATTTTACAACTAATATAGATAGAATAAATGAAAAATAAAACTATGATTTGTAAAATTTTCTAGTTAAGAAAGCAGATATACTAATATTTAGATGTCTACTTACTCTTTTTTTCATTTTTGTAACAACTAAGACTGGTCTTTGGCAAATTATAAACCTCAAGAGGAGATAAAAAATTGAGAAGGAAAAAATTGGTATCTTAACTATTAAAAGTCAAGGCATAAAATGCATGCTTATATCATACTTATATCTAACTCTGAAAAGATACAGAATATAAAAATGGCAATAGAGTTTGCCTCTAAGAGCTTGGGGGTAGGTAATGAAAGAGAGACTTCATTTTGTTGTTTCTTTCTTTTCAACGCTATATATGTTAAAGACAAATATAAATGAGGCTTTAGCTTTGTAGGAAGGTATTTTCTAGTCATATCTTCTAGATGTGCCCATCACCTAATGTCAAGAATTATCAACTCACAATTATTTCTTCTATTTTCCCACTCTCTAACCCCTAGTTGTTTTGAAGCAAAGCACATATTTCATGTAGATATATTTCAGCATAGATCTTTAAATGATTAAAAAAAAAAACTTGGCCGTGTTACACAGCTCCAGTACCATCATCACACATACAAAAAAGAATAACCCCTTCATACCAGTAATCTAGCAGTGTTCACATTTATCCTACTGTCTCTACGAACATTTAGCTGATGTTCTTCAGTGTCTTCTTTAACGCCAGCAACAAGTACCTTTTTCACAGTTGAGTGGGCACCTGGTCTTTGAGAACCTTCTCTTGAGACAGCCCTCTTTGGTTCCACAGCTCTCCCATCCACCTTGTGCAGCCTTGCATTCATGGCTGCATTCATGGCTGCATCCCCTCTTCCACAGTGGCATAGGTGACAAACCCAAAAACCCTGGAGCACTTGGTGTTGAAATGTCTCATGACCACACAGTCTGTGAGCATTCCCCATTGCTTAGAATGACTCCTCAGAGTCTTATCAGTCATACCAAAGCTCAACCCTCCAGTGAAGAGCCGCCGCAGCTGCTCAGCTCTTTAGGAGACTGACAGACATGACAGCAGTGGGAAGAGAGACTTTAATGATGCTTCTGCAGCAGTGGCCATGGGCAGAAAGGGGGTTCCTATTAAATGCAGCAGAACACAATTCCTAATTCAAAAGGTATACCCAGCCAGTCATTAAATATACTGTATGAAGTAACATTTCTGAATTTCCACCAGCTACATGTGTCTGTGATGTACCGTGAGGTTCGTCATTTACTTCTCTCAGAAGAATGCTCACTTTTTCCAAGACAAAAAATATCCTCTATAAGGGAAAAATGCAAAAGAAGACATTAACATTGTATAATAGAAAAAATCATAAAGGAGCTTTTCTCAAACAAATAATGGTATTCATTAATCTTGAATGTTTAATAAAAAGAAGATGGTATACTTGGTTAGGAAAATAAGTTATCTTGTTCCACTATAGTAATGCTCAGATGGATGGAAAGAAAAAAAAAAAGCAGCATCGTTTTGCTAACCCTAAAAGTTGTGTTCCTGAAAACCATGCCAAGAAAGTGTGTGGCTGAGGAACTGCAACACTTCATGGGAAACAAACAGAGGAATCAAAGTAGGACAGGAGGAAGCCTGACAAACTCAGTGTGCTTTTAAAAATGTTCACTAATATGGAACAGTCCACTAAAGATAATGTCAATGACATTAATGTACAATTAATTGTTTTTTTTGTTATTCCTTTCTCATCACCACATTTCCAGGATTTCTCTCTTTCTCCTTCCTTCCTTTCTTCCCTCCTTCCTTCCTTCTTTCTTTTTTGTTTTCTTTCTTTTTCTTTCTGACAGAGTCTTGCTCTGTCACCCAGACTAAAGTGCAGTGGCATGATCTCAGCTCACTGCAACCTCTGCCTCCTGCGTTCAAGCAATTCTCCTGCCTCAGCCTCCCAAGTAGCTGGGACTACAGGCATGCACCACCACCATGCCCAGCTAATTTTTGTATTTTTTTGTACAGACAAGGTTTTGCCATGTTGCCCAGGCTGGTCTTGAATTCCAGGGATCAGGTGATCCACCCACCTTGGCTTTCCAGAGTGCTTGCTGGGTGCATTGAA